GGGAAGATATTATGAGCCTTTAGACTTTAAGATAATTAAAACCTTGGCAGAATCTGTCCGCACTTATGGCATAGATGCCGCTTTCACTCTCACTCAGGTGGAGGGACTTATTAGATTTTGCATGACTCCCTCAGATTGGGCTAGTCTAGTCCGCGCTTGTGTTTCCCCAGGGAAATATTAGGAGTCCAAAGTTGGCTGTTTAATGTTTCTGGCAGTACCCAAGACTCGGAGCGAGGTAGGAGGCTTAAAATTTCTGCAAATAATTCACAATTATCTAATGCTACATTACCCTCCGCAGCAGTCCGTCTCCAATCTCCGTTCCTGTTTCTTTTGGCTAATGATACATCACAGGGGATGCCTAATTGTTCTAATATTACCTGTTATTTGTCTGAGTGTTGGAATGGCTCCTGGACTACGGCAATGGTTATGAAATTCCAACTTTTGTCCCGATCCCGGTTACTGCAGATCCAGAGTCATTTCCTATTGTTGAACTGATTAGAGCCCGTAGAGATTTTGGAATTACGGCAGCTATAGTGACAGCTGTGGTGGTGTCTGCTGCTGCAGCAGTTACAGCTGGAGTAGCCATGGCCAGCCAGGTACAAACTGCTGCCACTATTAATCAGGTTATTCAACAAACATCCACCATACTTGAATCTCAAAGTAGAATTAATCAACACACTTTATCTGGGATTCTAGCTGCTAATCAAAGGATAGATCTGCTTCAAGCTCAAGTTGAGGAATTGTCTGACCTAGTACATTTGGGTTGTATTGATCAACGTGCACATTTATGTATAACCTCTGTCAGATTTTATGATTCCAGAAATGCCTCCCGCATCATTGGAGAGTATCTATCCGGAACCTGGTCCATGGAAGCAGAAAACTTGATCCAGTCTCAACTAACTCAGATTGCTGTCTTGAACAGTACCCGTGTTGAACCAGTGACTTTGGGTCAATTCACCGATTGGATATCTTCTGCTTTTTCCTTCTTCAAAGAGTGGGTGGGAGTAGGCATTTTTGGTGCAATGTGTTGCTTCAGTGTTGTGCTCTGTTTGTGGCTTCTCTGTCGCCTTAAAACTCGCCATGCACAAGAAAAGGCTATGATCATACAAGCTCTTGCAGCTTTAGAAAATGGCAACTCGCCTCAAGTCTGGCTTGTGCATCTTAAGCAGTAAACCTTTGTCATGGTCGTTACACCCCAAGTTATTATAACATTGCACTGGGATCGACATGACTTTCCTTGTTATTCTCTTAGTGTTGGAAAGCCCTTGCACTCTGCCGGTCTTACTGCCATTGCACGCAGATGGGTTTCCACACTAGTGCTTTTCTATCGCCTTGAAGTTCGTGCCTTTCTTTCAGGGTGCTGTCAACTTGTTTGTCATTATAAACAGCCACAGTTCAGCCTCAGCTATCCCCCTTCGTCCACCATCGTCACGATACAGGATGCGAGGCAAGGCACTGCACTTGAGTGATCCTTGATGTGGACCTCAAGGAGAGCATGTCCTATTGCATGCGGGTTCGACGCGTCCACGCCCCGCCCCACGAAAAAAGGTGTCGGCTGATATGGCCTCAGATCTGGGGAAGGGCCCTCCTTAGGACTGAGCCATACTATGCAGCCACTTCTGCACAGTGGGATAGGACCTCTACTCTTGCCTGTATTGTTTTAAGAAAACAGAAAGGGGGAACTGTGGTGAGCCGCTTCTGCCGTTTCTGCAGATTATGGTCGCCATTACAAGATGACGCTGGCTCCGCTGTGGTCTGTGACAAACAACTCCTTATCTGGGAAAGTTGGCACATGATTTTTCACCACCCTGTGAGAAAGCTCCACGCGGCAGCTTTGCATTGGGGCTTGGGATGCTTTATTAAGGCTGGGAGGGGCATCCAAGAGGGAGAAGAAGAAATATCAAGGGCCTGAATAAACTGCTGAAAGAAGATTCCTGAGTTGCGTCTTCCTTGCGGGCAAGGGGTCGCGACACCTTCCTGCATACAGATGGTGCCACTAGGACAGGTCAGCAACACTGCTGCATAAGGGGAAAGAGACTGTCATCACAGAGGTTCAGGAGCTACTAAGTGGGCAGGACCACAGTTTGAACCCAGGACTGTCTGATTCCAAAGTCTGGACCTTTGCCAACTCCCAGCATAGGTAACAACCACCTATGGGCTGTTGGTTCCAGCTGCAGATCAATGGAAAGCAGGGTTTGCGGCCAGACCCCTGGGTGAACCACTCACCATATCTGGGACCTTAGGCAACTTACCTGCCATCTCCTTGTCCCATTTTCCTAATGCACAAGTGAAGGTGTGTTGTTCACTGCACAGAGCATGGAGGTAGTTAAATTAGATTGTCTATAGAACAGGCTCAGTATCGTATGGTGATTTTTGTTTTGTTTATTTGTTTTTTTTTTTAATTTTTTATTGTTGGCTGTTCAAAACATTACATAGTTCTTGATATATCATATTTCACAATTTGATTCAAGTGGGTTATGAGCTCCCATTTTTACCCCATATACAGATTGCAGAATCACATCAGTTATGCCTTTATTTACTAAGGATGTCTTTAACTGAGCCCTGGGCTTCCTGGCAGGGAGCAAGCCTTATCAGCTACTGTTTTATTATATCTGTAGCCTTGGCAAATTCCAGGGAGGGCCTGGTCACAGAGGGTGGTGCCAGGCATTGGCTAGACCCTAGGGCTCACCAGAAGTGGTGGTCAGCTCTAGAACCTCTTCTGCTTAGAAAGCAGGAACAGGGGGATGTGAGAGGGACTTTCTAGGGGTCACATAGGTTTTAGGGACTGAGGCCTAGGAACAAGGACTCAGGCCAAGTCCTCTTCCATCAGGTGTCGGCAGCCTTAGCAATTGCAGGACCATTGGGGTAACAAAAGTGCCCTTTCCTACTTGTTAACCCATGACATAATGCTCTCCCCAACTACTACAGCACCCCATGAGGCTTTGGCAGGGAGACCCAACAGGATGGCACAGGAGACACAAGCAAACAAGAAAGTCAGGCCCCTCCTGCCACCCTCACTTCTGAGAACCAGGGAGATCAAGGCTACCAGACACTCGTCAATATCCAAAGAACCCAGGAGCTGCACTGCCAGAGGCCTGAAACAGCCTCAAAACACATCCTGTGGGGGGGACTGCATTATTCCTCAGAAATTCTGCCCCATGAGCCCACACACAGGCTCAACTGAGTGAATCCTACAGGACTCACGGGACCCAGAAATGTCCTTCTTGGAAGTTCTGCACCCATTCAATGGACAAGAATTCTGCAGCACCTCCTCTGCATGCTGGAAAGTGGAGGCTGGGCCTGGGATTCCCAGCCCAGAGTAAAATTTCTACAAAGAACAGGCAGAAGTTTCCTCTCTGGCCTGACACCCTGGGGACCGTGCTTGCTCCCCACTTGTCCCTGATACTTGCATGTTTCTCCTCTGGTCCAAACTCCCCCAGGGCTCTCATGTTATCCAGAGTGAGGACCAAAGACTTCAGCAGCCAAGAGGCTCGGCATGGTGGGCCCTGTTCTTTCTTTGACCTCATCGTCACTCTCCTTCACTCTGCTCTGGTTACATTGGCCACCTTGCTACTCTGTCTTTTCAACTCAAGGTCTTTGCAGGTGTTGATATTCTTCCAGGAACACACTTCCTGCTGAAATGTATGTCCTCCCTTCCAATGCTCTGCTCAAACGTTATCCCCTCAGAGAGGCCAAGCTGACCACCACCACTGGTGAGCCCTTTCCCTCTCTCTCTGACCTTGATTTCTGCCATGGAACTTATTTATCTACCTGTCTTCAGACTGGGTTGTACTTTCAATGAAAACATGTGAGTAAGTGCTCAATCTGCATCTGCATGGGAAGGAGCTCCTCAGTGATGCTTAGTGCATCCATCACATGATGCCAACCCTAAAGCACACACACACACACACACACACACATACACACACACACACACACCAGGATGGCCCAAAATGTCTACACCATGCAAGATCTCTGGCTGACAGCTCACAAGATGCAAACATGACTGCAAAGGGGTGCCAGGCTGAACGATGGTGGGGGATGACTAGAGAAGGGCAAGTCACACACACACACACACACAAAAAAAATATTAGCCTTATTTATTCATATATACTCATGCATTACACAAACACAGATTCACAAAAACAGTTCACATAGATTCACATACAATGCCTGGAAATGCACTTGGACATCTGCAGACAGATGCACATACATTCTCATACACACACACTCCAGCCACAACTCCACACACATGCACACACACACACACAGCCATGTGTGCACCCACGCACACTCAGTCCAGCCATGAAGATGCCATCCTTAGCCCCCAGCATTGTAAATGTTCCCCACCTCTACAGGGACCTCACAGGTGACCGGCTATAAATCCAGAGGCTGGACTAATCTCCAGGGTGGCCCAAGGGACAGTAAAAGGGCAGCAGGACAGCAGGAGTCTGTCTGTCATTCTCCTGTGTAAGGTGGTTAGGATGAGGGGACCCTGACTGCCAAAGAAGCAGTTCACAGATCCTGACCTGTGACCCCCAAGAAGTGGCCTCTGTCTCCTGGTGGTGGCTCTGGGGTCTAGGAATGTGTGGGTGCAGGAGAGAGTCTTTTTTTCCCTAAACTGAACCTCTCTCCTTTGCTGAAGGCTGGGCCCTCCTTGGCAGACTCACTCAACATCAACCTCCCCAAACAGGCCTACCTGTCCCCAAGAGCGTGTCTCTCTTTTTAGCCCTCTTCACTGAGCCCCACACAGCTGTTCCTGCAGAAGATGGAGTCCCACCAGACACCTCAAGGTATGCCCCCACCCTGGAGGATCCTCACACTGCATCCACCCCTGCCACCCCCAGAACCTTAAACTCATGGGTCACACCTCCAGCCCTCCATCCTGGGTGAGCCTGCCTATAGTGTGACACTGCCTGTCACCAGGGAGCACCCCTCCAGGAGCCATTGCCCCCAACCCAAGTTGGCTCTGCTTTCCCAGATGTGCATCCTGCACCTACCTTTTTCTTCAAGGTCTGCAGCATCTTCAGTAGTCTGCAGCATCTTCTGCCTTGTGCCAGGTCTTCACCCCTGGGGGACAAGCAGGTGGGCATGGGTGAGCACATGTAGGGGCAGCCAGGCATGTCCTTCCCTCAGCCCACCTGAAACTTCCTTACCTGTGGGAGCAGCTTCCATGGCTCTCACAGCTTCCTCTGAACAGAAAGGCATGGGGGACCCTTGGGAATATGCGCCGGTAAAGGCAGTGTGGTTGTTGTGTTACCACTCAGGTGGGCATGGGTAGAGCCAGGGACTGCCAAGTTCTGAACTCAGAGTCAGTACCTCCCACTACAGTTGGACCATTCACTAGGAGGGCACCATCACCTAAGATCAGCTTGGAAAGGGTTGGAAAATTTTCCTGGAGACCAAAGCCTTCCTCAGGATCTGAGAATCCCCTCACCTGATCCAGGCTGCCCTCACATGGACTCATACCAGCATCACAGAGCAATGGTGCAGTAGCTTAACCACAAGAGGCCTCTGCTTCCTGCAGTGTCACTTCAGCACCCTCTACTGAGGAAGCCCCCATCATGCACCTTGTAAATGGGAAATGGTGTAAAAGCCAGGCTATGGTGGAGGAGCAAACACTGAAGGAAGGAAGGAAATAAGATCAGAGCCAACATTAATGCACTTGGGAATAAAAAATAACAACATTAAGGACCAATGAAACAGTGTTTCTTTGAAAATGTAAACAAGATGGATAATGCTAACATAACCAAGAGAAAAGGAGAGAAAATCCAAGTTTATAAAATTAGAGATTAAAAAGGTGAAATCACCATAGATACCACAGAAATCCAGCAGATCATTAGAGACTACTTTGAAACTGGTACGCCAATACATTGGAAAACCTAGAATAAATGAATACATATCTAGATAAATAGGATCTACCAAAACTGAATCAAGAGCAAAAGAAAACCCAAACAGACCAATGAGTTGTAATGAGATGGAAGGCTTTTAATTATTGTCTCTAGCAAAGAAAAACCCAGGGCTGGATGGACTCCCAGCTGAGGTGTACCAAAAACCTTTAAAGGAGAACTGATGCCAAAACACCTCAAATTACTCCATGAAATACAAAGGGATGAACACGTTCCAAATTTATAAAGCCAGCATTGCACACATACCAAAGCCAGATGAGGACACATCTAGAAAAAAACCTACACACCAACATCCACAAATAACTTAGATGCACAAATATGGGATGTATGCTTCCTCTGATATGCAAAAAAAAAAAAAAAGAATAAAAAGGAAAAGAAATGTGGGAAAGATGAGTGGAGAAAAGGGACCAAGGGGTAGCGGTTGGAGGTAGGGGGAGCTAAGACATACTGCAGCAGTAAAAATCTGGGGAAATGATAAAGATTTCCAGGAAATCTCATTTTGATCCACACCCCCAACAATTGAGACAACCAGTCATTAAGGGAATGGAACAGCTCTCAAAAACTGTTCCATATCACATTTCACATGAAACCACTGTTTTTTGTTTGTTGGTTTCATTGTTTTTTTCTTTGTTTGTTTGGTGAGGTGGGCTTGTCAATCAGCCTACCCTTTAAAATAGAAGAATTGCCACAAGGTATTTGTATGATGAACTAGGAGGAAGCCCTAGACGGAACTCCAACACTTGTCTTTACAAGGATCAGCCTTCTGGGCCAGGCAACATGGCTCTCAGTAAGTTAAGTGTCCTGGTAGAAATGTGAAGAGATGGAAGTCAAGCTAAAGGAGAGCTGGAATCCTAGAGGTGATGACCCAACCAAGACCTGCTCCTTGGCACTGCATTCCCCGCACCCCCACTTTTGGTAGTAGTATTATTTTTCCCACATGGAATTTATAAAATAGGTGCAGAATAATCCTCTTAGTGTATTCTGTGGTGACTGAGGAGCAAGGACAGTTATTTAGAAAGCCAGCTTATGTATTCCATTGTGCAACACGTCACCACTCTTCTGAATGTTGTTGTAGTCTGTTTCTCCTTTTTACAGGAGGCTTTTTAGCCATGATTGGCAGAGGTGGGTCCAGGAGGCTGTCCTTACTGCTCATCAGTTGCTTAATGGACTTTGAGATCAGGCTCATTTTTTTCATGTATTTTGTCCTTCAGTTCACTGATAGTCATTGAAGGGACTGTGGCAAGAAGTCATTAAGGATGCAGCATCTTTCTGATGGACACGAGCAGATTATTGAAGAGTAAGAGAACTGTGTTGTAGAAATTCTTTAGCATGCATGTTTTGGGTCAATGATTTTGCTAATGTAACATGCATAGGGTTCTAATGATCATGAAGATTTTCTACTTTGTTTTCCACATTGAAATATGGCCAGTTTATTCACTACTGTTCTTATACTCTGGTAGTTTCAGTGTAGTTTTAACATTTGCTGAGAAGACAACCAATTTATCTTAAGAGATGGCCCTTCATGTTGCTTCCCCAAGTCTCCTACACTTTCTTTATTCCTACTTCATTTTCTTCCTCTGTTTCTGCTCTCTTTGGCATTTAAGTGAACTGTGTTGGAGCTCACTGGTTCTTCCCTCTGGGTGATCAATTCTGCTAGGAGGCTCTGTATGTTTTGGAGCTCATTCACTGTAATTCTCAGGGGCAGAATTCTGGAGTGATTTTGGAAACTTAGTGCAATCCCTTGCTCACCTGCTCTGGCAGGTTTCTGTATTGCTTCTCTGTATTCTCAGAGTTTGTTCAGTTCACTTCAAATGACACTTTTGAATCCTTGGCCACTGCCCAGTCTATGCAGAAGCACATATATGGAAGGCCCTCTCCTGTGAGGACATTTTTAACAACTAACCTTCATGTTTGTATTCTCACTAGAGTTTGCCCTGTCCCCTTTCCATCCCTCATCAGTTCTTGCACGCTGTCTTTCACTTTGGATCCAGGCACATATTGATGTTAGTGATTTTATTTATTTATTTATTTTTTTTATTTTTTTATTGTTGGTTGTTCAAAACATTGCAAATTTCTTGACATATCATATTCCACACTTTGATTCAAGTGGGTTATGATCTTAGTGATTTTAAAATCCTAGCCTTACCATTGCAATATTTCTGCCAAATCAGAACCCGGCTCCCAGGCTTGCTCTATCCACACTGCACATTCTCTCTGTTCATATCACATGTGCCCTATGTGTCCTTTAGAGCCCTAGCATATTAACCACACTTGTTTCTCTTTCTCAGTTGTCCAAGGCTCTCTTCACTGCATGTTTCAGGATGGTTCTACTGCTGCCTCTGTCTCTTCAAATGATGCCTTTTGTTAGTGCACTTTTCACATTTAGTCCTGCTGTGGACATGATGTACTGGCGAAAAGGAACAGAGGCTTGTAGGCCTCTAGATCTAGTTTATATTTTATTGGCTCAGAGTTGTGGTGTGATGATGAGCTGTATTTTTTAAGGGCTTGTGACTTTGGTTTTCCTAAGGATATCTTCATAAGGTCTGAGTCTTACAATTCCGTCTTGTGAAAACTGCCATTAGTATATGGAGGTCCTAGAGTTGCAGGGTGAGGTATGGAGGGAGGAAGCCTTCATTAATCCTGAGACCAGTCAGTAATTGAGCCTGAGACCCTGGGCTGTGACTTTCTCAAGTCCTTCTCATTCCTCCTCTTCAGATGTGACTGGAAGTGCAGAGGAAACTGGAGGTAGTTATTTCCATTCTCCCCAATAAAAGGCCAGATGGGACTACATTTGGAGCCATCCCTTCCCCCATGCCAGGGAACCCAGGCTGGTTAGGCTCTGCTCAGATGTTTTATCATAGGGAATATGTTGTATTCATGAAAGGAGGATGGATCCAGGTGGACCTAGAAGCCAATGCCTCAGTTTCCTCTATCCCCACTGGAAACATGAGGGAAGCTTTGTCTGACCTTCCTCCTGAGCAGCTGGTGTGCTAACTGGAGGGAGATGTGTGGAGGTGTGAGGAGCTCCAGGAGATTGGTTCTTCCCATGAGGACTCTTAGTTATACAGTGGGACCACCCTGCACCTCCAGCCATTCAGCAGTGATGGTGTCAGCTTTCCTACCCAGCTACAGTCTCCAGAAGAGGCCCCTTCTCAGTTTAGCTGATGGTATGAATTTCCAATGACCCAATTTCAGGAGCAGTGGTTGGCCCTTGGACCTCCATCTACTCTGGGGGATGAGAGCTATAGTAATTTTCTGTTTAGACTTCCCTGGGAGGGCTGTGAGCATGGGGATGATGACCACAGAGCTCCACATGCATTGGTCCACATATTGAAAACCTCTCAATATTTCCTTAACACTAACATCGGATTAAGTTTTTTTTGTTGTTGTTGTTCACACAGAAAACACTCTACTACCATCCCAATTCCAGAAAGTGGGAAGATGTACTCAGGAAGCACTCCTCCTTTGTCAAAGAAGAATGACACAAATGCCTCAAGAATATGTTACACCCTTGAATTAATTTTTCCCTAGGTTCAAAACAAAAGTGAGTTTTCTTTTCTTGTTCTTCCTGGCCCAGGTGTTCTGATGCCATGCCTGCACTCTCTGTGGAAGATGTTCCTGATGGTGATTGGCCCAAGACTCACAAACTACACAAAGAATCAAAAAGAAGAGGCCACCTCGGAAAGGGAAAAATATGAGCAGTGGGGCCCCTGGTGGATGTGACCGATGATGCAGACCCTTCAAAACCAAGGAAGTGTGTGACAGGTGGCAGGTCATACAGCAAGTGTGAGTCTTCCCTTTACACTTCCAGTTGGGGCACTAGATCAGGGGTCAGCATCCCTTCAACTCAAGAAACATTCTGAGTAGGCCAGAAAAGGAGATTCTTCATTTCCCAAGAATGTATCTATAGGCCAAGGCACATGGTCTCCTTCGGCGTGATGGTTGCATTCTACAACTTTTGGGGAGCCCAATCTACTCGGTGGGGAGTTCCACAAAATGCATGTAGTGCACAGTACATGAGGTGGATCTCTCACCCATTCAGCTTCTCCTGCCAGTAGCCATCTGGCTCCATCACCTACTCCATGGCTTTTGTCTGGAGTGGTGTCAAATCCTTCTCTTTCTAGAAGAGACAGGTTTTTACTTCTCAGCCTTGATTTTGAACATCTCAGGACTCTCCTGGTTAGAAGGGGGAAGGAGGCATTTTGGGTTGAGCATGGCAGCTATCCCCCTTGATCTGAGCCAGTTAGGGACCTGCTGCCATGTACTTTGATTGGCTGCCTGAATTTTCCAAATTCGTTAGTCAGTGTCCAGCAGAGGGAGCTCTCCACAGTCTCAACCATCCACCTGATGATGGAGATCAAAAACAGAGAGCCCAATTTGTAACCAGGTGGAAAGGACTCTGACCTGGTTTTAGGGAGGGACAGAGAAGGTCAAGAGGAACAATCATTGAACACATGAAAGCTTGATATATTCCATCTAGGGTTGTCTCCTGAACAGACATGTGAGATTTATAGAGGGGTTGTCCACTAACCAGGGACTGTGGGTTCCCAGGATGAGAAGGGCAAATCACCTTCTGGTGGTGTCTTTCCTCCTCAGATGTGGTGAATGAGAGTTAGAAATGTCTGAGCGATGAGGAGTACTTCATGAGGGCCTGTCCACTTATCCATGAATTGCGCTTCGGATCTCTGTTTTTTCTGTCATAAGCAGGATTGCGTCTGCTGCCTAGAAAGTATGGGAATGGCACTGAGGAGAGGGTGTTGTCCTAGAAGAAGGAAATTCCTGCGTGGAGGTCAGAATTAGTTTCAGCAGCTGTACAGAATATTGGGTGCTGCCTTCACATTTTCAAGGTGGAGAATTCATTCTTCTTAGTGAGGTCTGAAAGCGTCTTCCCTGTGTGATCTCATAAGGGTTCAACTGCAGCCCCATTCTGGGGACAGGCAGGATGTGGGGATGGGCAGTAGGTAATAGCACTTCCCACATCAGTCTAGTTTCCTGACATAATTAGTCTACAGTTATTTGTAACACATACCATGGAGTTGAGTGGGTTCTTTGCCTTGTTAATCCATTAAAAGAATTTCAGACACAAATAGTGGAAGGGTGAGGGCAAAGTGTCAGAAATTACAAAAACAATATAAAAAAAGCAGAACTCCTGCATGGGTGGGGTCCCAAGAGTGGATTGCCAGTGAGTGGCAGTTGTCTCAGGTTTTATAAGGATCTAAGGGTTAAGAAAATCAGCCCCCAGCCCACTTCTGGGTAAGGCATTCAGTGACAATGTGCTCTTCACGTGCCCTTTCTTCCATTCAGGTTAAGGTCACTGTGTTGAAGTTTGTCCCTTTTCAGAAAGGTCTGGGCTCTGGATAACAGATGTCTCACCCTTTGTTTGACGTTCAGCCTTGCATCTGTGGTCTTTGTATTCTGTTCCACTGTGGTCTTTCTGTTAGGAGAAACCTGACCTTGGTGAGCCCAAGTCTCCCATCTGCCTACCCAGCTCTTTCCCTACCTCCATTTTAGAGTGTGTGTCATTTTTATGTGTTCCATGTTGATTGAGGTCTCCAGGCATCACAAAGTTCTCAAGATTTATTCACCTGGTGAATAAATCTTATTTCGAGACAAAGGAGAGAACATTGTTACATTGAAAGAAGTCACCTATACTCTACCTGGAGAAGATCTTTCCCAATAGTCGCCCACAAGGTGCTTCTGAGCCCCTTTTCATTCAATTTTCTACCAGTGTTGGATATTTAGGTGTAGTTCTTTGCCAATCCTAAAAACAATATGGCCCTCAAATTGGGCCCACTATTTTTGGCAGTTTTTTCATTTTCAGTCTTTTTTGGGCACAGAATTGGCATCTTGAGTCACCTCTTTTATTTTCTGTCATAAGCATTCCAATTTCACAGAGGAGTGGTCTGGATAATTGCTTACACATATATGGCCCAAAATGAGATTTTAAGGGACAAAACAAATGGCATCAGAGCTCAAGGAAACATCATCTGGTGGTGGGCCCTTCCCTACCAACTGCAGGAGGAAGTAGAGAGGCATGACCCATAGACCCTTCTGTCTGCATCACACCACAGGAATACCAGAGGCTCCCCACACCCTCGACAAGCAGAGAATTCCACTCCTTCACACTGTGGAACTTGAGGCCCAGGGTCAGGCCTCAGTAGTCACAGCTAGAGATGCAACAGTGAAAAGGGGCAATGGAATGCATCTGGAGTGAAACTCAACACCACACACCAAACCATCCCTAGCCCACTGCACCAGGAGAAGGCAGTTGATAATAATGGATCCAAAACAAGTGTGAGACACAACTGGACAGTGCCTGCCTTTAATCCCAGCAGATAGGAGACTGAGGTAGGAGGATTGAAATTTCAAAGCCAGCTTCTGTAACACAGTGGTGCCCTATGCAAGTTAATGATAGCTTCTCTACAAATGAAAATTTTTTAAAAAGGGCTGAAGATGTGGCTGGCTCAGTGTTTAAGCTCCTCTGTGTTCCAACCCAGATTAAAAAAAAAGCAGAGACATATCCAGCCCATTGGCAGTACAAGTGTCAACACAAATAAGAGAAATTTCACAATACAAGACAACCTGACGCCACCTATGTTCTATAATTTTCTTGGCACTGATGCAAAATATTTGAACATGCCAGACAAACTATGCAAAACATTAATCTTTTAAAAATATCAATGGAATTTGAGAGAATGCAACTGAAAGAATGAAAGGAATTAAGGCAGAACATAAACCCAGAGAGAGAGAGTGTTTGAAAAAGAACCAGACTTAAACAATGAGTCACAATGGCCCACAGAAGGAACTTTTGATTTGAAACCCTCACTGAATTGGACAATTTCTGTCTCTGGACAGGAAAATGGGCAAAAATGTTCAGGATTTTTGAGATATGCTCCGTCCTTCCCTCTGCTCTCTGCCTCCGTCCTCCTCTCTGTTCTATCTGTTCTGCTCCAGTCTTCCTTGTTAGGAAAATCCCAAACTCCTTCCCATTGTTCTTCAACCTGTCTTTCCACATTCTCAGAACCACCCGAGCTGCTCTCAGTCCTACCTTACCCATCTTCCTCCTCCCCATACACACCAATCTGCTCCTGCCACCACACTCACCCCTCCACCCCTCCTCCTGCCACCACAGCTCCTCCTCCCTCACTCCCCACAACTCCCTCTTCTCCTGCAGCCATGGCTTCCCTGCCCACCTCTTCTACTGACACAACCTTTCCCCTCCTCCTCCATCCCTCTCCCCCTTCTCTCCTTCCTCCTCGCCTACAGCCATGATCAACTCCACCCACTCACCCCTCATTTCTCCTGTCAGTGCCCACACCCAGTCCCACCAGACCCTCTTACCAGATAACCCAAAGTTCCTTTGTCCTTTCAGGGAAGTGGCTGATGCTGAAGGGATTGGCCAAGTACATGTCCCATTCTCACTTCAAGATCTTCCCAGATTGAAAAGCGCCTTGGGTCCTTCTCTGCTGACACTTCTACTTATGTTAAGGAATGTTAATACCTCTCCCAGACTTATGATCTTATCTGACATGATGTCTATTTTGTTCTGTCCTTCATCCTTACCCAGGATGAGCAAGCCCACATCCAGCAGGCTCAATCAACCTATGATATTAGAAAAAAGCTCAAACAAGCTGAGGAGGGCCCTCAGACTCCTATCCAAGATCTGGTGAAAATGGCCTTTAAAGTTTATAATGCCCAGGAGGAGTCAGCTGAACTACCCAGGCAGGCCCAATTACAGAAAAATGTAACATTCCAAACCCAGGCCTTACCAGTGGCCCTGAGGCCTACAGCTCAAGCAAGAGCTTCATGGGGGATTCAGCATTCCTCTCTGCCAGGGACTTGCTTCAAATGTGGATGTGAAGGTCACTGGGCTAACCAATGCCCAAGTCCACACCCTCCTTCCAGGCCATGCCCCATCTGTAAGCAGACAGAATATTGGAAATGTGACTGCCTCACGGCTGGCCCTTCCTTAGTGCCTCTATCTGGGGGTATGACCAGCTAGGTGGTCCCTTCTCTTGAACTATTGGTGTTCACAGAAAACTGAGGAAGCCCAGACTCAAGGACCCCCATTTCACTCATGGAGCCTGGGATAATGGTCCAGGTAGTGGTTAAGTCTGACAACGGACAGAATTCAAGCTCCTCGTGACCTACAGCCACCCAAAACAGTGGACTACATCCTCTCCTTCCTGGGTCTGGCAGGCTTTTTCGGGCATTGGGTTCCCCACTTTGCACTTCTTGCCAACCCCTTATACAAGGCTGCTAAGGAGACCCCTCACAGGTCCCTCACCTCCTCTATCCTAGTAGCCAATTCCTTTCACAAGCTCAGGGATGCTCTTATATCTCCTCTCACTCTCTCTCTTCCTAACCCTAACCATCCTTTCTACCTCATTATGGGTGAAAGACAGGGTATCACCAATGGTCTCCTTACTCCACCAAATGGACACTCCTATAAGCCAATGGGATACCTCACCAAGCATCTTGACTCTATGGTTCATGGATGGCTACCGAGAAATGTTATAAAATTTTATATTCCTCTCTACTGAGAAGTCAACTTAAATATATTTCTAAAGGACAACAAAGAGAGCCTAACTTATTTAAACATTAAAAGTATGGGATATATGGGGCTGGGGATGTGGCTCAAGCGGTAGCGCGCTCGCCTGGCATGCGTGCGGCCCGGGTTCGATCCTCAGCACCACATACAAACAAAGATGTTGTGTCCGCCGAAAACTAAAAAATAAATATTAAAATTCTCTCTCTCTCTGTCTCTCTCTCTTTCTTTAAAAAAAAAAAAAAAAAAAAAAAAAGTATGGGATATAAAAATGTTTTAGCACTTTCTCTTAAAACGGAATTAAAACTTCTCTTACCTGTTTCATGTTTCATATATAATGATTAATTATGTTCACTAATTCATATTAATTCAAAAATCATATATATATATATATATATATAAATTTCTATAAAATAATAATAATATTCAGTCAAAAAAATAAGATTATTGCAAAATCAAAACATCTTGCCCAAGGTTGACCAAGAGGCCACCTAACCTAAGTTAAAATTCTTCCATCTCATTCCAAGGTAAGATAATTATTCAAGTTTATTTAAAATTAAATTCAGAAGATAGGCTTTTGTTATAAAGATTACTGTATTCCTAAATTAAACAAAATACTATATGTAAATAAGTAAATGTCTCAAATTATATATAATTATATTCCTTAATTTATAAGTATTATAAAATTAAATGTTTTACTCTTATTAGTTTTATATTGTATTATCCTTATAAGTTTTAAAACTATTACCTGTTAAAGCCTTACACAAGTACAAATTGTAATGTAACAACTGAAGTTAATTTGTAATAATAAGGTCATTACCTATAAGACAAACAACTTGTAAAACTGTATTTTCAGTATCTATACTGGCCCCATTTTATAATTTTGTTGCTTAGCCCATTAATAGACACAAAGGAAAATCATAAAATTCATAAAAACAACAAAAATCTAGGCCTCCTTTTGCTGTGGTGCCCTCTTTGGCTCAACAGCATGGACTTTAACCATCTTCCCATGCATCACAGGTCACTTTTGCTAATTTTCCTGGCCAAATAAAAATATTTATTGTCACTTCTTCCTGTTTAAATACTTGTAAAGGGCTGGGCCATTCTCTCATTTAAGCTAAGTATGCTCCAGCTTATATCAACTTTTTTTCTACAATTTTAAAAATAAAAAGGAGGAAACAAAATCGCATATAACCCCACTAAATCTCACAATTATTTTAAAAAGTTCCAAAATTGTGATATTAAAATCTCACTCCTGCTGAGTGACACAAGGAGCACTAGAATAAATCAGATTCAGTAATAACATAGGGTAGAGGCTATGCCTGTATGTTTCCAGAAAACACAACCTGTCAACTAAAGGACCTGGCCTTTCAGGTTGAGCAGATAATTTAACAACAAGGAGGTAATAAGTCTGAACCACAATGTTTGTGGCTATGCTGGT